TGCCCAAGCTGATTTGGTTCAGTGGATAGAGCGTTGGCCTGCGGACTGAGGGATCCTGGGTTCAGTTCCGACCAAGAGCACATGCCTAGGCGTGCATCCCTTGGAATCAGATATTGGCAGATTCTGACAGGTTGTGCCCCAGGCTTCAAGTCAATTAGTACTGGGGTGTGGTCCTTGGCCTGGCCAGGGGGATTTCCTTCTGCCCAGAGCAGGGGATTCTCCCTCTAATTCAGGCTCTAATGGTGAGTCCTTTGACTGGGAGGTATAAAGTCTCCATTCTTCCTCCCAGGCCTGAGTCCTTGTTGTTTCCCTTTATCTGTCTGGGAGCTTGGTTCCTTAAAGCCACCGCTATCAAGGTTGCTTCCTTTTTCAGTCTCTCCTCTGCTTCCTGTCTTGGTTGATGAAAACCTTGTTTGCTATTTCTAGCAGCTCGGGTGCATTTTCCCCCTGCAAATCCTTCGAGCTTCTGTAGCTTCCTCGATCAGAGGGAAATGGAGTCCCCTGCCCAGGCATGATTCCTGGGCCAGAGGCCTCAGGCCTGGGTGGGGGCCAGAGCCAGTGATCGGGGGGAGATGGGGGTCCCCTGTCCAAGCCTGACACCTCTGGCGGAGGCCCCCCCCCCGCAATCCTTTGAGCTTCTGTAGCTTTCTCCTTATATTGGGCTGAGCCTGACCTACAAACGCTGCATTGACCGTAGTTTGATTTTCTGGGGCTTCAGGGTCAAAAGGAATGTAATTCAATATGCCTCACAGAGTCTCTCATAGAAGGCTGCTGCCCTAGCTGGTTTTGCTCAGTGGGTAGAGCATCAGCCTGTGAACTGAAAGGTCCCAGGTTGGATTCCAGTCAAGGGCACATGTAGAGAGCACCTGGGAAGGCACATGGGCATTTCTTTAATTATTGTCAGCTGAATCCAGTGGTGTTGGCAAAGCCACGTCCTGGAAACATGCTTTGCTAAGAGGCAGGAGTGTTGTCAGCTTGACCTTCAGCCCAGGTGCCAGGGAGTGGGTTTTGTTATTTAAATCCAGCCAACCCCCAGGAATGAATATGACTCGGGCCCACCCAAGAATGCACATAATCTCCTTCGTCTTGACCTTTAGTTAAACTTCCTGTTTGTTTTTTTTTTCTGTATAAAATAAACACGCTCACTGTATTGGCTCTGGGTCCCTGTCTCTCCATCAGAGGACAGCGGTCTCACCCGGCCCCAGCTTTTTCCTTCCAACTCTGTGTCTGTCTCTTTTTTTTCATTTTCTCAATCCCCAGCCGCCCCTACTCAGGAACCAGACTGCTCTCTGCTCAGAGAAGAGAGAAATATTCACAGGCACATACCTGTGATGCAGGCTCAATCCCCTGTAGGGGGCTTGCAGGAGGCAGCCAATCAATGATTCTCACTCATCATTGATGTTTCCATCTCTCTCTTCCTTTCCCTTCTTCTCTGGAATCAATAAAAAATATATTTATTTTAAAAAAAGAAGGCTACTGGACTTTCATCAGGTTTCTGGAAGACCTTAGAGGTGTCGGCCATATTGGTGGGCTTCTTGGCTCTGGCCCTGAGCCCCTGGAGGAAGGCCAGTCAGTATCTCTCCAGCCTGGCCCTTCTGTCTTCTGAGTTCGGCTCCCATCTGGGCTCCTCATCTGGGAGGGCCTCCCTGGCCCATCTATCTGTGTCTAATATCCCTGCCGGGCCTGGGCCTGGAGCCATTTCTGAGCTTCCGTTACTGTTCTCAAGCGCTCCTCTGTGTTAAGAAGCGTGAGAAGGAGTTGCTTGCAGTCAACCCAGGTGGGCGTATGGGTCTGGACAATTGACTCTAGGAGGCCTACCATGGCCTGAGGGTTTTCAGAATAGGTGGGAGTGTGCTGTTTCCAATTCAGGAGATCGGTCTTGGTAAAAGGCTGGTGGTAAAAGACCAATCCCCCCTCTTGTAGGTCTCATCTTCTCCAAGCACCTGGAGACCCCGAGTCTCCCAGAGAGGCATCTGAAAAGCTGGGGGGCCGAAACCGGTTTGGCTCAGTGGACAGAGCGTCGGCCTGCGGACTGAAGGGTCCCGGGTTCGATTCTGGTTAAGGGCATGTACCTGGGTTGCGGGCACATCCCCAGTGGGGGGTGTGCAGGAGGCAGCTGATCGATGGTTCTCTCTCATCGATGTTTCTGACTCTATCTCTCTCCCTTCCTCTCTGTAAAAAATCAATAAAATATATTTAAAAAAAAAAAAAAAAAAAGAAAAGCTGGGGGTGGCTTGGGTCTCTGATCAGCTGAGCGCAAGTGCCGTCCAACTGGCTCTGGAGAGTCAGAAGGAGGTGGTGTATCTAAGCTTCCCTGACCGGGCAAAGGAGCACTGGGTGCCACACATGGAGGTGGTGAAACTGGCGGGGCTTCCTCAGGGGGTTCCTGCAGAACAGGAGGCTTGTTCTCCTTCTGAGGGGCCTGCTTCTCTTCTCCTGCCTGTCTCTTTTCTCCTGCCACTAAAACCTTACTCTGTCCCTTCTTATACACGTAGATCTAGATCCAAGGTGACTTGAGCTGAGCTATTTCCAGCCAATGTAGGGTAACTGGTTCATTCTAAAACAGGGGGTTCGGAGGAACTGCTTCCCATATTTGCAGTTGAACTGTGTAATCCCTCCCAGTTAAGAGACACAGAACAAACACAAGGTAACTTTCGCTGCACACAGACTTTCACGTTCACATTCACACACCAGTCAGTCTGAGCCTTGACTTCCGCCCGCGGAAAGTCCCTGAACTGAGGCAAATATTTTGCCAAACTGGTGATCAGCCACTTCTTCTGTCCCGAAAGATAGGCCTGAACTCGGACTGGTCCCCCAGGGAAAAACTTACCGGTCAGACATCTAGTTCCAGAAAGGGCTTTTCTGTCCTCCTTGGAGTCCACAGGGGTGCGAGCGGGGGTCCTGGTCGTCCAGGCCCGATGAGGACTGGGACCCAGTAAATCACTTGCAGGTGCGCCTTTCCTGTCTTCAGGGGGGCCCGGGCGAATGGACCAGCCATCGACCTTTACCAGTGGTGCCCTAAGTAGGCAGCACGACTGGTATTTTCTCGGCTAACGCACCAAATTAATGTTGCAGATAAGCTGCCAGGCAACACGGGAGAATTAATCAGCCGGGCACTCAAGAGGATATTCAGAAAAGTAGCCTTTATTTGCAGGTGCACTAGTGCCATGACTCAGGGGAGTCAGTCTCCAAATCCTGAGCGATGAATATGGATGAAGCTCTCCCTTTATTCCTTTGTCCCCGAATATGGGTCAGGCTTCCAGACTTTTCACGGGCTTTGTGGCCCCCTGTGAGTTGGGATGGGGGAAGTGAGATTACACTCAGAGGCCTGTCTGGCACCAGAGCTTGCCAACCCCCTTAGGGGGTTGTATATGGTTCATGGCTTATGGTCTCTGTAAAATTGGAGTATTCCGGGAAACAGGTTCTGTAGACGGCCCCTGGGAAGGCACCTGGGCATTTTTCCTTAATAATTGTCAGCTGTACCCAAGGCGACAGGCAGAGCCCTGTCTTGGATACGCATCTCACCAAAAGGGGCAGGAGTGTTCTCAGCTTGACTCTCATCTTTTCTTTTCTTTTAAAAATATATTTTATTGATTTTTTACAGAGAGGAAAGGAGAGAGATAGAGACTTAGAAACATCAATGAGAGAGAAACATCGACCAGCTGCCTCCTGCACACTCCCCAGTGGGCATGTGCCCGTAACCCAGGTACATGTCCCTGACCGGAATCAAACCTGGGACCCCTCAGTCCGCAGGCCGACGCTCTATCCACTGAGCCAAACCGGTTTCGGCGACTCTCATCGTTGTCCAGGTGTCGGGGAGCATTTTTCCTTAGTAATTGTCAGCTGAACCCAAGGCGACAGGCAGAGCCCCGTCTTGGATACACATCTTACCAAAAAGGCAGAAGTGTTCTCAGCATTGACTTTCATCTTTGCCCAGGTGTCCAGGAGTGGGTTTTGATACGTAAATCCAGTCTAGCACCAGGAATGAATAGGGCTCATGCCCACCCAAGCTCCTTTATCTTGAGTTTTGGTGAAACCTCCTGGTATTTGGGGTATAAAATAAACACGCCTGCTTTGGTCTGGGTCCCTGTCTCTCCCTCAGAAGAGGACGGCGGTCCCACCCGGTCCCAGCCTTTTCCTTCCATCTTTGAGTCTTGTCTCTTTATTTCATTTCTCAATCCCTAGCCCTCCTACTCAAAGAACCAGACCACTCTCTTTCCGTGCTGGACGTGGAAAAGAGAGACCCTGCCATAAGGTTCTGCAAGGCAGGACAGATAAGAATGGAGTTTATCAGCAAGCAAGAGTGTGCATCAGAATGCAGGTTACTGGCACAGATTCAGATAGCTACCTCCCCCCCCCCCAATGTCTTATTTTCCCCTCACTGGGACCAGAGAGTGGTCAGCATTCCTGAGGAAAACTCCCGGAAGGGGTCAGGGTCAGGGTTCAGGTGCAGCAACCAAATCAAAACGTGTCATGTGTCTGTTCTCAAAATGTTTTCCTTTTCTTTGAGTAATGGGCCCATCTAGGCTCCAAGGTGTTTGGTATTTTACAGGCTTGTTTCATCCTCCCGTTTCCAGGGTCTGTAAGAAAACTTCTCATCTATCATTTATCAGACAACTGTGGCTCTATTCTTTTTTTTTTTTTCAGAATTGAATTAAAAATCAGTAACAAAAAGATATCTGGAAAAGCACCTAAATGTTTGAAAATTTAAAGACATGATTCTATTTCATCAGTTGCCTCCTGCATACTCCCCACTGGGGATGTGCCCGCAACTCAGGTACATGCCCTTGACCGGAATCGAACCTGGGACCTTTCAGTCCACAGGCCTACGCTCTAACCACTGAGCCAAACCGGTTTCGGCTGTAGCTCTATTCTCATTACATGCACTTCCCACTAACATCAGGGTTGGAGGTAGTGGCGCTGAGTCTCAAAGGACCCAGAATCCTGGGATAAAGAGTCTGGTTCTGGAAGAGTCAGGCACACAGTATGCACTCAATAAGTGTGTATTTAATTAATTTTTATTTTGCTCAAAAGTTGACTTTGTTCATAATCAAAATTAAACTGTGTATAGCGTGTTGCTTCACACATTCCCCAAGAAGGTGGAGCCTTCTCCTTCCGGCCAGGAGATTGGAAAGGATTCCTGTCAATGGATTTTCTGAGTCTTGTATTCGCTGGCCTGAAAGAGAAGGTGGGCGTGTCAGACAATGGGAGGAGGGTAAGGGCAGTCAGTTTGAAGGGGCTGCCAGACCTCCAGGCCAATGGAGGGCCCCACTACCTTCTCGGATCTCTACTGTGCCTCCCTCAAACCATCCCCAACCCTCCCTCTTACTCATGTGCAGCCCCCACCCCCACCCCCAGTCAGCTCCAGACCTCCCCAGATGCTAATCCCAGGCTTGCTCTGACCTTATTTCAGCATAACAGGAGTCCTATTGCGACTACCATTCCGTATACTAGTATTGTGCCCATGGCTAGCACAAAGGCAACAGGCCCCTTTGCCTGAAAATTCAGAGTTACACGACCCATTCCCTATATGGAGGAAGAAAGGGGCAGGTCATCCACAAACATCTGCTCTGCACCCCACCATAAGCCCGCTGCTTATATTGGGTAGAAGGACAAAGACTACATGGGGAAGCAGGCAAGGGTATGCCAAATGGGCAGTTTACAGGTCATACAGGTTGGAGATTTGCAAAGGCCTGAGCAAAGGCTGGGGGTCTTCAAAGGGCTGGGGAAATGGGAAGGGCTCCAGGCTCTGGTTTCTACAACTAGGCTCTTAATCTTTCCATGATAACAGGCAGCTCCCTGGTGGGGATGATGGGCTGCATTTCCAGGTGAGCTCCCAGCCAGGTCAGAATGTGCCTTCTTTCATTAGAACGAACCAATCACAGTTAACAGAGCATGATTAATACTTCTTACAATTTCAGTTGGTCCCCAATATTCTATTTCTGCCCCTATGACCTGGGTCCTCTGAGAACTCCTGGCCTGTCGCTTGAGATGCCTCATCCCATGGTCCTGGAGTCTTAGCCCATGGGAAGCAGTGAGCCCCCTTATAGACCCTTAGTTGTCCTGGGTGCACCCTGTCAATGGGGGAAATGACCAGAGTCCTGTTATTGTCCCAGTAACTGGTGGCTGGGCATGGCCAGGCCTGGCTGAATCTCACCAGAGAGAGGGCGAATGAGCCATGTTTTCCTTCCACCATCTTCTCAAGGAATCAGAGCTCACACCTGTGGGGAGAACACCCCAAGTCACCTTCCCACACACTCCAATTCCCCTAGGGACTCTGGGATCTGCTCCTCCAAGGTGGAAGCAGGTCCCAACCTCACAGGGATCCTGCCCTGAGGGGATCACATGGACAACAAGAGACCTGAGGATTAATGGCCCTGGAACCAGGCCCATTCTCTGGGGGTGGAGGGGTGGAGGGTTGTCTGTGGAGTCCCAGGGCCAGGCTGCCAGAAGCCAGTCCATCCTTGCTGCTTGACACAGTCACTGCAGGGAAGAAACATCTCCACAGCTTACGTTTCAAGGGACCTGGTGTATATGGCATATGTTTGCTCCCCCTCTTAGCGCTATGCGTTTTAAACAGGACGACCTTCCCGAGAAAGGTTGTTTACCCAGGTTAGGGATTAACAGGACTAAGGAAGAGAATGAATCAGTAAATCCCCCTAGTGTTACAGAAATAACATGCACTACTTATGAAGAACTTGGACTAAGACTGTTGGCATTAAATTTGGGACTTGTTGGGCCCACATCCCCAGGGGTCTGCCCACCAGGGAAAGCACCAGAGCCTATACCCCTGGAGATCCACCGACACAGGGCAGTCCCAGGGAAAGCAAGCAGCGAGGCTGGGAGGACATACCCTTTACTGGGTAGGATAATCTCCTTCAGTCACTTCCTTGTAGTTTATCAGTAAGCAGTGACCTTGGAATAGAACACAGAGATTAACCTAGACAGGATTAAACTCAAAGAACTAGATTAACAAACATCCTAACCTTTGGAATAGAATGGATAGGATGAAAATCAACTGGTATAAATACAGATGTAACAAGAGACTAAAGACCGAACCTGGCGACAGAATCTGAATAAAGAGCCTCAGTGTGCTGTCAACTGAACACTGTCTCAGTGTCCTTCATTCTTCGCCAACTCGATTCACACCTGTAGGAACCCCTGGACCTGCTGGGGCTGGACCACAACACCTTTGCCTCAGGCTCAGGAGTCTCCTCTGCAGGCCTGGGGGAGAGATCACCTACCCTCTCCCCATTGCCTCTAGGCTCCCCAGTCTGGGTGGGGCTTCCCATTGTAGGAGATGCATCTTTTCATCTTCATAGAAAAGAAACAGCATGTAGCCAGTCAGTTACTGAGTTTCCCCAGACCAAGCAGGATGTGGGAGGGGAGGTAGGGAGAGATTATGAGAGCGGTGTAGCACATTTTCCAGGAAGATTTTGTAGACAAAAGGAGGTGGAGACAACTAGAAAAGGCCTCAGCCAATTTAAAAAAACACACCCATAAAACGAAAAACCAATAGGAGACAATAATACATAGGCGACGTATGGGATAGAATGTAAACTCCATATACTCAGCCAAAGAGGAACTGGAGGAGGGACTTTCACACAAGAGGATAAATATTGCCTGTGCCAGCTAGTTCAGGTGACACCTGCTCTCAAGCAAGTTTTAAAGGTCTCCTTTTTACCAGACTTCTGTCTCTGAGTCCGTTATTTGAATAATTTAAAAACACACCCATAAAACGAAAAACCAATAGGAGACAATAATACATAGGCGACGTATGGGATAGAATGTAAACTCCATATACTCAGCCAAAGAGGAACTGGAGGAGGGACTTTCACACAAGAGGATAAATATTGTGTGTGCCAGCTAATTCAGGTGAGCCTGCACCAACGGACACCTGCTCTCGAGAAAGTTTTAAAAGTCTCCTTTTTGCCAGACTTCTGTGTCTGAGTCCGTTATTTAAATTCAGACAGGTGAGCCTGTCCCACCCTGTCTCCTCATCCACCTTGGGAAACTGTTTTTTGAGTGAGCTC